CACCGCACCGTGCCCCGCCCCCCGCCCAACGGTCGCCGCCGGAGCGAGGCAGCGCAGTGCGGCTAACGGCACTAACGGCACCTGGGCACCCAGGAGAGAATAAAGGCGCCCAGCCGTGCTGTAGGGCTGCCTTGGTTACGAGGTGAGGTTTTAAGACTCGAGTAGAAAGGGTGACAAAGAGGTCCTGCTGGATAAGCCATTAAACATGCTGCCAGTGCTAGCCAAGAAAAAAAAAAGTCATTTATTGATCAAAGTGTACCGAGTCACAAGCCTCACTGAGGTATTTCGCTTCACCTTGCATCATAAGCTTCAAAGAAGTGTTTCGTATACTGAGCCAAGTCGTCACTTCATTAGTTTTATCAATACACATCTTTGATACACAAAGTGATCTAAGAAACAATGTACTGCATCGTGGACAATTTTCAAATACTGCCCCAGTAATTCAGACAACGAACCTGACTGAACCAAGTCTATGACCAAGGGCCCATAGCATGATAAAACTCTATGAAGAAAAAGATCACTAGTGATCGTTACCAGGTGTACATAAGCAAGAGCATCACCACTCTGTGCAAAGTTTGAGCTGCAAGCACAGCGCCGTCTACCCTGTTAAGAAAGCGTAGAGCGCTTCGGAAAAAGTAGTGTACAGTAGTTCAAACAAAATACCCACGTGAAGGTGTTAGCTGCACGTTCCGCGACAATCTAGCTCTCTCAAATCCTTTCAGTCGTCTTTCTCATGAATTTCTCAGTAGTTTAAGCAAATTATTAACCTCTTGAAAACAAATTTAGAAAAAGGTGCTTGACAATTTTAAAAGCAGATACAAAAAAAAAACAGGCTGTACAACCTAAAAAGTGCAAAATTCAGTCCAGTCTTTGTAGTATCTTAGAACATAAATATTCAAAACACCAGTGACAAGTTTGTTTTATGGCTCAATCAGTAGAAAAAAGGGAAAGGCAAGGGGGGGGGAAAAAAGTGTTTTACAGCATTCACTTACTACTGAATATAGAGCTGAGTTGCATGAAACACTATGAAACCCACGAATGCATCTATTAGTTTACCATACATGCAGCTGTTAGTATGAGACAAGATAGTTTACAAAGCAGTACTGACTTTGAAAACTGGAATTATACCATTTGGGAACTTGGAGCATCTTCAGAAATAAAACAATAAAAATCCACACCACCAGCGATGCACAAGATAGAGATAAGCAAGCACCAACTTTTTAAGTTAACTTGATAGTCTCATAGAAACAGATCTGAAGGAATTAGCAAGTTAGAAAAAAGGTGATAAAATTAGGATGAAGACATTCATGACCTACCATGGGAGCAGAACAGACTTATATGTACCAATTTGTATAGCTTTTCAAAAGTAGGAAGATGTACACAGTATTGATACCGGATAGCCTGACAAGCCTGAGCTTCTATGCTGGAAGAAAGACTGTGATCACATTTAGTACCATGTTGACTGTCTGAAGACATTTACAGTACTATATGCTTATAAACCAGAGATTAATAACCATGTGCAACTTTAGAAGACTTCTATAAAATAACTTTAATGACTTGGTTCATACCATTCTAAAAACAGTCATTTTCAAGAAGAAAATCAATACATTTGTTGTATTGACTTTGCTTTCTCAGTCCTATTCCCATCTTTGCTAACGGTTTGGCATCCACAGTATGTACAGTCTGGTTGCCTGGGAAGATATCCTGAAAATGAATCCCAAATTTCCAACTCGCTAATATAGTGCACAATTATTGTAGACCTTCTCCACCCCCCCCTCCACCTCAACATAATCAAAAATGAAAGTTTAGTTCTGACAGCTCAGGAGTCTTTTTGTGAAAGCTCCCCAAAATGCCAAAGAAGTTATTAGCAAAGTGTTTTGCTATTTTATATATATATATATGTATATATGGCCTGTCTGACTTCAAAACTGATATGAGGTCATGCAAGTGATGGAAGAAAGTCACTGAAATAGGGCAGCTATTATAAGAAAGGAGCTGTATCATCTATCCCCATTCTCCATGGGAATCTTAATCCATTATACTGCTGTCCTTGGTCTTTCCTGAGCAAAATCTTCATTGCATTCTAGTAAGATTTTTACAGGTATGTGTAAATAAGAAAAGTCTGCTTCTTTCTCATGATCCAGGCTGTATTTACTCACCTTCATTAAAGGAAGAATCTTTGTAATTGAGCTCTGGAAAGAATCATTTAGCCAGAAATCTTTATCTTCATCAAATGCTTTGAATTCTTCTAAATAATTGGATTGGGTCTGTTTTTGACAAGGCCACACAGACAGTCTTTTCAAAGGAAGATGTCATATGTTCTCAGCTAGGTAAGTGGATTCTCAAAACACATCCCCATCTCTTAAAACAGACAACAAGATGGGCATGACAAAAATCCATGTTATACAATACGCTGTATATACAAATTCAAAGACTGCACCTCAGTTTCTTCCTATTACTCAGTTTAACAAGATTCAATAAAATGTGGAAGCAAAGCACCATGGCCATCTTTCCCCAAGTCCTTGAAGAATGTCTCAGTATCTCTTACAGGTCTTCAGGTCTCTAAGGTTTCTTCATTTGCACCACAAGTGTCAACAACACAGATTAAACAACTTGTCACTGGGAAAGCGCGAACTTTGGAGTTGGCTATCCACTTGTCTGTCTCAGTATTATATTCAAGAATGTGCCCCAATCGACCAACGCCCTGAAAACCAGCCAGGACATAGACTATAGGTCCCACAGCAGCACACTTCACTGTTACACCCTTCCATGGCATTGGAGATACCATCTTCCATTCATTCATCTTGATATCATAATATTCTACATTATCAAGGCCACCTACAAAGCAATGAAATAGATAACTGCTTATTACATTACACACTCTAGGCTGAACTTGAGCATACAAATGCTTTATAAAACTTGGTCATGATTTTAAAGGTTTAGATTAAAACAAATCGCAACAATAGTGACTGAGACAAAGAGGAGTTTTCACTTCCATTCCTGAATTATTAGGCTTCAAAGATTAAGAAACCTCTGTGATCCTAAGACGTATGAATGTTTTATCCCAAACATAACTTTTTCCTATTATACTACAGTAAGAACAGTTAATCAATCAGGCCACAGAATATGAAAAACAGCAAAATAATAGTTTAACCTATTGGATCAATGGTTCACACTTTGAAAATGAGCATTCAGCCAATATACTAGAATTTTGCAAACAGGCAGCTCTGACTGTAACCGATAAACTGTCTGTACAAAAGCTGCATCTACTGATATTTTTGTATTGGGAATCAATCACGTTGGAATAGTTATAGTAGCTAATTAAATTGCACACGATATTCTAGAAGAACTAGAATACCTGATTTCAGATTAATGCCATCATAAATAATGATTACTAAAGCTGAGTATTTTTCATTTTCAAAAGCACTTCAGAAACTCTATGTAATCAAATTTCAAATTCAACTCTCCTAGGAAATAATCTACTATTATCCTAAGCTAACAGACAAGTAGACAGGCAGATTATTAAGTGACTTGCCCATGGGCACACAGGAAGTCATATTTCATATCTAGGACAGTCAGAAAAGTTCACTGTTTCACCATTTAAAAATAGCCATAGCCTGTTAGATACAGGTCTTCAGACTGAATTTCTCAAAATAGTGACTACGCCTTTATCTGTCTCTCTGCGAGAAGGTGTCCCAATATGTATAATGAAGAACTAACAAAGTTAGCTTTTTTCAGGGGATTAGTTTAGTTATATTAAACAACTGCAGAACTAGGTTACACATTTCTGAATTTGACAGGACAATCAGTAATAAAAGTGCTGGGAAAATAATCAAGAGCAAAGCAAGAAGGTGCAAGAAGGCAGACAACAATACAGGGACAACAGCGGAACATGTTTTATGGTACTGCTCAGAATGTTTCAGCTGAACGACTAGTAGAATAACTTTTTTTTTTTTTAAAAAAAAAAAAAGAAAGAGCAAGAAGCCCAAGAAACCTTGGGAGACCAGCTACAGAACTAACAGAATTATGAGTACCTAAGCCATTTTGTCCACCCACAGCAAATATTTTGTCTTTTACAAACACCAGTCCATGATTCTTCCTGGCTTCAATCATTGGACAGAGCTCAGTCCACCTAGGAGAAAAAAAAGGAAAAAACCACACACATAAAAAGCCACAGGAAAATCCACAATTTAGTTCTTTGAAAATAAACGTAAAATAATTAAGCTCCTAAAATTGGGAAAGTGAAAATATGGAAGAAAGCTGTTTAAGAAAAGCAGCCTTTTAAGTAAAACTGCAAATATCCTATTTGTTACTACGGAACTCAGGTTGTATAGGTGAATGGGAAGAATTGTATACTTCAGGTATTTAAAGAGCGAGCAAAACCACAGTGACAAATACCAGAATTGATACTTACGTTTCTGTGGCTGGATCATAAACTTCACAGGAATTTAGGACTCTTCCAGAAACATTGTTTCCTAAGCTTCCTCCACACACATAAATGAGGCCATTTGCCTCTACCATTCCATGGCTGCACCGTTGAGTCAGCATGCTGGGTTTTGTGTGCCAGCTTTCTGTTCTCGTATCATAGCATTCAAACAAATACAATGCAGAATTTCCTTAAAAAATAAGAAACCCACCAAAGTGGCATTAATTTTTTACAATTGGCTTTACAAAGAAAACTCTAACAGTAATACCCAATTGATGCTCTACTTGCTAGTTGAAAATGGAAAGCTGCTTTCCAATCTCAAAGCAGAGCTAATCAACCTGAAACTCGGGACTATTTTGGAAGCATGTACTTAACTCTTTTCATGACTCTTGTTGTCCTCCAAAATACACAAGTTTATAAAACTATCACTGTATCAAAACAAACCAGTGAGTTGGATTTTCTTTTTCAGGGGAGGAAAAAACTAACAGGGATACGTATAAATTACTGACAAAATTATCATCTCAAGCCACCCCTCAGTACCTGAAGTGCACTGAACTTTCAAAATGTGAAAATGAAACCAAGGTATTGTAAAGTTAGTACAGAGTCCCATGAGTCTTTTTTCCTATAAACAATGTGGCTTGACTGATTCCCAGAACACTTGTTGCATTTGGAATCAAATGGCTAGATTATGTTATAACATACTTCCAAATCATTAGCAACCACAAAATAGATACCCTTAACCATTCTACTTTCTTTCTGGGGACTGGCAAATCCTTATTATTTTCCTGGAAGTACAACGTCTGTGCCCTCCTCCCCCAATGTCCAAAAAAGCTATTACTGAAGTCAAAAACAATCTTTCCACTGAAGATGGATGGAAGCTTAAAGACTTATTCACAGAAAAGAATCAGGATCTGTCTCCCCTTTGTTTCATTAGATACATTCATCTAGAACAGTTAAAGGTGCCTTCACTTGATCATCCTTTTCCCCCTCAGCTTTCTACTTCTCAGACTAAGTATGTTACACAAGCAGCACTCAGTGCCCTCACTACGAGCTGGAGATCTGAACCCTCAAAACTCATGGCACTGCATTTCCAGGCCCAAAAATCGAGAGTAGATTCCAATAACCATGTGTTTGTTTTCTCCTTCTACCGTGCAGTTCTTAATATCATGAACAGTACAGTGAGCCATATTCTTTCCTTGATGGCAAATACACAATCCTATTGCTTCAAAGTTGTCAGAATTACCATCAGTAGAACTCTTTTAAAAAAAAAAAAAGGGGGGGGGGGGGGGAACAGCTTTCATTTTGAATTTGTTTACTATTACACTGACAACATTACAACATATGCCCTGAATCTCAATATGGTAGAAGAATTTAGTGGGTTTAACTTTCAAACTCTGCCAGCTATTCCAAATAAGCCTGTATTCCTACCAGTGCAGGGAAGGGGGTGGGGGGAAGGGCCCTCTTTCACACAGTGGACTGACATAATAATTTATTTTCCAAACTAGTAAATCGATACAAAAACAGTGACTTTTAAAGACTTCTCTACAGCTAAACACTCTGCAGCATTTTCTTTAGTTAATATAATTTCATATAATTGCCTGCTTCAAGTGGTAGAATTGGGATAGAAAGATTTTTCCCAATAAAGGATCAATGTTCAAGGGACTCCAAAAAGTGCACTGAAAAAAATGCAATTAAAAAAAACTCAGTTGCTGATTTTAGTTATGGAAAGAAAAGGAAAAATGTGCAATGAGGAAAGGTTTAACAGATCCACTCTCCACTACTGATGTATTAATTAGTGTTATTAGACACAAAAAGGCAATAAAAGTCTATACAATCAAAGTTTGGATCATGTTTCCTCAGGAATTGGCATGTGGGAAACTGAAACGATCTAACAGCTCTTCTAATAGTTCAAGCAATAGTTCTCAATACAGCCTTGGTTAAACCTCACTTTCCAGCAATGGGAAATTGTTATTTCACCTTCACTGCACTAGGTGGCAGTAACGAACTGCATCTTTCTGCTGCTTCATCAGAGCTGTCCAACTGTTTTTGAAGTCTCATAAGGTTATCTAAATGTCACAACTTCCTATTAAGTAACTGTTATCAATGTTAGTCACCGATTATGACCACTATTTATTTTCTCCTCATTTTCCTCTGCAGCAAGGCAAAACTCAAAAGGATCTACTAAAAATTGTCATCACATGGCTCTAGATCTTTTGGCAAAACAACTTTTTCTTTAAGCTCTTCCATAGCAGCAATTCCTATGGATATGGCATACATACATTCCTACTTTTTAGTTTGCTGAAGATATCACATCCGATTAATTTAAGCAAAAATAAACTGAAAAATGTTGCCATAACACTAGTTTGAGTGATTCAGATTAGAGCCAAGCCACAAGGGTTTGGCAGTCCCTGCCTCCCCCCCATGGACTTAATTTTTGACTGTATGATGAGTAATTTGTCTAGAGACAAACCAATTGAACAGCAAACTCTTAAAGGATAACTTCTGTCATTTGAAAAAGATCAGAGGCAAATTCCTTTACCGGATCAGGCATGATTTTACCATCAGTACAGCAGAATCAAAAGCTTTTTCTCCTTTTACTCATTAGGCCCAAATACCAACAGGGCAAGCTGTTCTGGCCCCACATCACAGATGATTTTCAACCACACTTTGAGAGTTCTATGGATTTATAGAAGTAAACTAAGAACAGAGTGGGAACCTAAAAATAGATTTGCTTGCCTGCAGTTTACTCCTAACAGTCATAATGTATTTTATGCCCTAGTTAATAATGTAAAGATTATATTCAGTGAAATTGCTTTAAAAAAAAAAACACAACAGAAACAGATTACTGGATTGTGGGGAGGAGGAAATCCTGCATACAGGAAAATTAACTCATCAGCTACCATTATGGCTGTGTGCAGTTTCTTGTCAACAAAGAGTCATGCAAAACCAGAAAGCTTTCCAGGTATCTCTGTTTGTGCTTTTTGTTTGTTTTAAAGATTTTTAGTGTCTTACCCACTTCTGAACCACCAGATGTATAAATTTTGCCCTCAGCAGCACAGGCTGCAAGGCTATCTCGAGGTGTTGGAGGTCCTAGCTTGGAATACCAGCTATCCTTCACCACATTGTAGCAGTCCATTCGCTTTATAGGGAAGAGCTGGGAACCACCCAAAATATAAACTACGTTGTCCCAGAAGACACAAGCTGCATCCCTGCGCTTTTCAAAGGGACATCGGATGTCTGTCCAGCTGTAATCCTGCATTACAAAGAACAGGTAATGTCTAATAGATTATATAACTTACCTGCACAGTGAGTGTTTTCAAACAGAGCTTTTCAGAGATTTAGATATGGTCAGTTTTACATTTCCTTTTCAAAACAAACATGAATACTGTTTATTGAAGAATACTCCTCAGGCGTACTCTTGAAAAATTCTTAAACACAGACATAGTTAGCTGCAATGAACCACGACATTATCAATTTCTATCTCCTCACTCCCTGCACGCACCCAGTACAGCTTTCCTGAAAAACAGATTTTTTTTTTTTCTCCAACAAAATTGACCTCCTGCTCCTGTCAGGTCAGAAACAATGCATGTCATCAATAAAGTACGATGGTTTTTTCTTTTATAGCAATGCAAAAAGACGTGATATATAACAGACTCTTTCTTTCTAATAAAGAAAACAGGAAATAAAAGCAATCAAAGGCGATGGAAAAAGGAGAAGCAGGTAATATCCAAATTGACAAGCAACTCAGTTAAAAAGCTCTGTAATACATATTTTATTACCATGACAACTAGAAGCTTATTTACAGAATTTAACAAAACACAAATGATCTGTAGCTATCCACAGTTGATAGCATGAGAAACAGCGTAATGCTTCATCACAAATACTGGCAGTCATGTTGCCTAGAAACTGATTTTGCCTGGACTGGCAAAAATCAGTAAGTGTCAAATATGGCAGTAATGCTAACTAAAGCCTTAAGAACATACTCAGCAGTTGATGGCAGATCACGATAGCATACAGCACAAGCAACACATCTTGAATAATTGTATCGCACATATTTCATGCCATCATGAGGATGGCTCGTTTCCTATACTGAACAGGAAAGTATAGGACCTTAAATGTTATTTGTGTCACCTTAGGATGGTCTAGCTAAAGCTGCTGAATGACCTTCATTGAATGGTTCACACAACACGTTACATCATTACATTTTCTTAGCAAGGACATACTCCACACACTTTGGTCAATGAGGAAAAACAGCGACTCCTGCGTGGGGGTTCAAAGAAAAGAGAGACAGAGCATGTTATAGTCCAAAGCATCTTACAATCTTTTCTTGTAGCATCCCCCATATCAAGAAGAGCTGGCAGGTGCATGTGGCCCTTTATGGTGAGAAACAGGTCCTGGGGCATCCTAGAAAGGAAAGCCATACTACAGCATGGCAAAATAACTAGCTGTATAAACCTTAAGAAAATGTCTTACTGCTTTGTGTAAGATCATCATGTTTTTTGCTCAAATTTCTGGCAGTTTTATGAAAAATCCTGTTGTCTCCCCTTACTGTTGTAAGGGGCTGTGATCTGACCCACTCTTGCAGCTTCCATTCATAGCTACCATTTCTTTCATACCTACATAACATATGAAAAGCCACAGGCTCTCCCACAACCTCATCACACTACTCAGCAGGATCCTCCTCTTCCAGCAGGAGGCAATTTAGATCATTTTCTTGTAATACTCTTCACTGTTAGTCTGCATCACATAGAATTGATTTCAATAGTTTTTACGCATTTAAGAACAGTTGCTCTAGGGCAGAGTCAAGATCCACAGAGCCCTGGACAGTGGCAAGTCTCATTTTTTGGGAGCTGAGGGAGGAAAGAAAGCACAAGGTAGCAATATAGTGACACTTCCCCTACTGAGCTCGGTTTCCAACAATTTGTGACGCAGGACACCAGAGTAAGAAACCGCCTTTGTAATTAGGAGTTCCTGAAAGTGTTTTTTTTTCTTTCATGAATTTATTTAATCATCTATTTTAAGTATCTGAACACCTGGGAGCCACAATCTCCTGTGGCAAGAACTCCACGTGTATCATGTACCATGTAAAAAAGTACTTCCTTTTGTTTAAAACTTTTTCTTTAATTTCATTTGTTGTCCCCTTTCCAAGTTTGTCAAGGAAAACAGCAGGCATGCCTAACAAGGACAAGTTTGCCACTAATAACTTGTTGACTACAGCTCCTGTCTCCTCATAAAAGTCATGCGGGTTCCCTTAATAATCAAGGAATAGCAAAGCCAAGCACTGAGTTAAGCCTTACTTGCCATTACTGCATTTTGCACTGTTTAAAAAGTTAAAACTTCTAGCTATCTCTTGCCACTAGAGACAGCACAAGAATTTCAAAGAGTCAGCATTTTGCTGCCTCAGACACAAACTTTCATCAAGAATAAAGAAGAAGGAAAAAAAAAAGAAAAACAAGCCACCTTACTCCCAACTTGGAGAAAAAAAAAAAAAGTTCCTTTCTGCATTGTGGGCTAGGGGGGAGGGGACCGACGCGATAATCCTTCCCGCCACCACAAAGAGGGAGATCTAGACTTTCTAGCACAATCCCAAAAACAAACATCTCTATTCAAAATGGTGCCAGCGTGCTCCACAGGAGCATGCCCCAGTCTCCATCTGTCCTGCTGCATCATTTTGCTCTCTTACTGAAGTAAATGCATCAATAGAAGAATCAGTTACAAGGCAACAAGGAGAACAAATATAGACTTAAAAACAACATTAGCAGTCTCAACAATTAACACAGCCTGTCCGATCCATTCTAATTTGAATTTTTTTGACAAATGAGGAAGTGAAGATCAGCATTATAGTAGAGACTGATTTTTATGTGCAAAGCAATAATAGTGAGACTAGAAAAAATTTTTGAACTAGTCTTATTGTGTGGGAATCCTGAAATTATGTCACTCATAACAATGAGAAAATATTTTTAGGCGAAATATGGCCTATGTTTGTTTTGAGCTGTTTAATTGATGTATAAGGATAACTGAATTAAACTTAAATAAAATCAGAAGTGAAGGAGTAGGTTGCTATTCAGCCAGTTCAACAGGTAACAAAACAAAACTTTCATTCTTTTCCAAGGTCCCAGTCCTGCAGAAGTATATACACAAGCTTAATTTTCTGCACTGTGACAGTCCTATTATCTGTTAATGAGACTAATTTAAGTCAGTTAAACATGTGATGTAGACTCTGCAGAACTGGAACCTTAAATCCCACACTTATTTTACATGCACAGGATGCTAATCTCACAGGGTTTCTGTTTTGTGATATTTAGAAGCTACTGCTGCAGTTTAAAGATCACACTCAGATACTCTAGGAAAACATCCTGCAAAGGAGTTTTAAATAACTTGGAGCTGGAGATAAATTAAATAAAAGCTATTCAACAACACATGACATGCTAGGTAAGAATGCAAGGGAAGCGTATAAGCATAATATTTTGAACTAGCAAAATATTTAAGGAAGGCATGCTATTAGATTCTAGATCTCTAATTACTCACTTTTGCTCCCACTCTATGTTCATCCAGATTATCTTTTTCCAAACAAGATTAAGTCTTCAAAAAGACATATGGGGACAACTGAGGGATTTTATATTAGTTTATAACGAGCAATGGAGCAACTCCTCCATCTCTTCAGTTCCGACCACCACTGACATGAGGCACTTAACAAGCAATCTAACCTTTTGTCAGTTAGGTTGGCAAAGAGACTGCACAGACTCTATGCTAAGACCAGACCATTGCTGATTAATGACTGGGGCAATAATTCTCAAAGCTAGTTTCCACCCTGTCTTGAAATAGCTTTGCTCCAATGGACCTAACTGGAGATTAAGAGAAAGAAAAGTTTTGATCTAATTTTGTTCTAATAAAAGACAGGTCAGAGCATATTTGGTGAATTACAACTTGCTAAAATGCCAGAAAAAAAAACTGTTTGAAGAGAATGAATGTCCTGATCAAAGACTTCCAACTCAGAGCTTACCTTTCAAAACAAAATAATTCATTGTTTCACTACAGGAAAAAAAAAATATATATATATATACACACACACACACACACACCTGCTCTGTTCGCCGCCACCACCACCACTCAGAGCAATATTTGTATGTCTCACTTGAGCATGTGTATGAAGATAAAGGTGGTCTTTTTCTTTTTAAAAAAATCTGGAATTCCTATTAAAACGATAAGTTAAGTGTCTCAGACTAAGACAACAAAGCTGGTAACGTTTTTCAGACTTAAATGTACTCAAAGAAAGGTGCCTTCAATTTTGTCTTGAATAAGGGACTGTGAATTCCTATCAGTTGGGTCCAAAACATACCCTAAGGGCTCATTAATTCCGAATTGTATTTTATGGCCTCACATTGATTGCACAGTTCACACAGATAACACAGAAAACTGTTTGAAATTGTAACAAGCATTTAATATGCTGAGTTAAAACAACCAGAATTTCTGCAACAAAATATTACAGGTAAGTAACTTCATACCTTATCAGAGCCCCCTAATATGTAGCTAGCAACCTTTCCGTGTATTCTTGCAAGTGCTTATCTGGTAAGAGGGAGTACGGACAGTCCCTCTACAAGTAACTGAGGTTTCCAGACCACCTAGTCTACATAGTCCAAATATATTCCATTTCCTGTGGCTTGATTTTGTTCAGGAAAAACAGAAACGAATTTCAGCCTAAGCTTGCTTGTTCTAAATTGCCCCCAAGGTTTTCACTGCAGAAACTCACTTTTTCCCCACTTCTAGAATACTTTGCTCCCAGTTCCTCTCCTTATATACTCTTAAGGACTAAGAAAATATGTGAATAATTGGGATTTAGAAGCAACTACGTATTTATACTAAATGCGCCAAAACAAACAAGAACTAAAATAGGGCCCTACGCTATCATACAAGAGAGTGTTTTAACTTTTGTCCAAAAAAAGGCAGCTCTCGAGTTATTCTCCAAACACACACATGCATGCACATCTATACAACCTTTTAGATATTCCTAACTAATCACTTGATGCTTATGTGAGTTTTTACTCACTTCCAGCTGTGGTATGCACATACCAATTACTGACCCAGATGGATTTATCGTAACTCTATATCTCATACCGCCAGTAAACAAACACATGACCATTCTAATCAAAAGGAAGTATTATATGTAGGTACATAGACTTGAATGCATCTAATTAAGTACACCCTCCTAACTGTACACCCAAGAGGCATGAAACCCATCCTTCCCCGTACCATTTTGTAGATCCTCAGATCTTAGTTAATACCAGCCAGCAAATTAACACATGCAGATTACAAACAGTGAATCTTAATGCATTCTGAGGTAACGATTACCTTTGGATTAAAATATCTGCAGGACTGGGGCTGTGAGCCTCCAAACAAAGCAATGCGATAATCGTGTTTTTTTCGTCTTGGCCGTGTACCTTCCACTAACTCTTCTCTGTCTTCTGGGGAAAGCAGATGATATCGCATCCCACCTAGCAGGAAAACAACTGTTCTAGATCCAGTGCAGCTCATACATAGAAAGGGATGTTTCAGAGGGAAGGACGGGGAAAAGATGCGAAAGAAGCTTCTACTTTACAACTACACAGCTTTAGAAACAATTCTTTTTAAGGGAAGAATGCATTTTTAAGGGAAGAATGCATAGGAGGATGGGAGCACACATCCAGATTTATGCCTCATTTCAAAATTCCTACTCCATGTGGAAACACGTTATGGATATGGACTTACCTAAGTGTCATATACTCATTTATTGCCATTTAGCTGATGTTACCACACAGTTAAAGTTGACATATTGAAACTAGCAGAAGAAAGTAAACCCCCTTCTCCCCCCCCCAAAAAAAAAAGAAAAAATGGCAGAACTGGGAAGCCTAAAGGGAAAAATTTTCATTTTAAAGGAACTTGAATGCAATGAGGAGTCATCACCTGCAGTTTTTAGTTAATCTGGAAGGCATCTCTAGCACATTGCATTTCATTAAAGCCCCTCACTTTTGCTCTTACCTTGACAATGCAAAATACTACAGTTACAACTACTGTAAGGAAAAAAAAAAAAACACTGAACTTTTTTGCTAAGAAACATTCCAACGCAAGCAAAAATATTAGTGACACTACAAGCCACTACGAAAAACCTAAAAACAAAAACCACATTTATTTCTGAAACCCTGCACCTAATTCTGTGTCATGCCAGAAGCATTATGGATATGGGAAAGGTTAGCAGATACTTACCAACATATAAATTAACTTGAATAATAGTCATTGACTGAAGTGGAATACTTGAATGCTCTTTTTAGAGCTACACTAAAAGTTAACTCATCAACTGTTATTGGAATAACTTCTGTTTTTTTCTTCTGGAATATCTATCAGTATCTAGGCATTTCTTTCACATACAATAACATTTCGGGAATGGTCAGAGGAGGCTTGTTCCCTTTTGTTATTTAAAGAAATGCTCTCATCCAAGAGATTTTTTTTCAGCACCTTCAGAATGCAAGTGTTTAGTCTGAACTGTCAGTATACATTAGAGATGAAAATAGTGCACCATAGACTTAGCATTCTTTAGTTACTTAGGGGAGCTTTATAATATCAAAGTTTTGATAAAAACCTTTCTTATTAATTCATATCTGAACAATATTAAAGTTACTATCCCGTCTCAAACGTGCACTAACCCTTCCAATTATCCTAACAACTCATAACAAAAACCCCATTCCATTACTTATCCTGAAGTTTAAATCATTCACTACTGACTTTCATTACTTTCCTCCTTAACGCTATTAAGAATAAACGTCTGCCATTTACATGTCCACTTCCAACTAAAAGTCACATCCTAGAGGGAACACAGTCATAGATGAATTCAGTGCAGAAACGTTGTCACGGCATATTAGTTTAAAGTAATCAATTTTTGAAAATTAAGTTCCACAGTACTTTAAAGTTACATAGAACAAAGATTTCAACTAGACGTCAACTTACTGATCACCATTTTAAGGCATTCTGGGTTATCCTGAATAAGTGGTTCCGCCTGAACTGTTTTACTTAAGAAGTTCTTCGATATGAGGGGAAATCTGACTTTAGCAAGAATGTCAACCATGTATGGCTGGCGATTCGGCTCATCATACTTCAGCCATCTGACTGCTGCGTCGTAAACCTTAAGAGAAAGAGAAGGAAAGAAAAGGATAACGTATATCACCATGCGCTAAAACAGGTAACAAAACCTTAATGTTCTAAAATTATTCTTCTGCCTGTTGGAAGTTAGTCTATATTAATATTTCAGTATGTGAGGATTTCACTATCAGCATCAACACAACCAACCATCTTCCAAAAAAATAAGACAGTACTCAGACATCAAGTGAAACAAACACACAACCACAGAGTAAAAACCCATCCACAAACCTTATTCATTAAAATTTCTATTGCTATTTTAACTCTTCCCAAATGGAAAGCCTGATCCAGCAATTGATATTTATGCGAGTAATTCCTGCACCACGGTAAGACTAACGTGCTTTGGGTTTGGTGTCAAAAAACAGGTGATACTTCACCAGAAATGCTGCAGGAGCTTCTACTTTATATAGCCTCCTGAACTGATGATCTGCTTCTCTTATCAGGTCATAGTGACGGAGTTCCAGATGCATTGCTATGGTTGCGTCTTAAAAATTTTAGGTGCAGATTACTGTAAGTTTACTCATACTGAGTGAGTTTCCCCTCTATCTCCTATTTAAGAGAAAGGATGTGGATTTTACTGGGGGTTAGGTGACAGGACAGGAAGGTAACCAAGAAACCTGCTCTGTTGATGTTCCTCTAGGTCAGGAGGAAATGGATGAAAAAGCTCAGTACTGCATATCTAAGATACTTCAGTGCTGCATTCAGACACAGAAAGCTTATCTGATAGTATTCATTCTGAAACGGTAATAAATTTTCCTTACAAGTGATTGCACAGTCAGTACCCACTCCTTGTAGCTGAAATACGTCATCGGTTGTGAGTAACTAGACCACCTCAGCTTTAATCCTGCAAAATGCCCACAAAGTAAGGGAGAAGAAAGAAGAAAAATGGATTTAAGGCTAAATTCTATCAGCTAAGAAAATTCAGCAGATTAATGATTGGGATAGAAATATTGTATCCATTTATCAATAGGAACATTATTTGTACAGAGAAAAAAAAAGACAGCCAGTAATTAAAACTACCTTTTTAAAAAAACTAAATTCATACGCTCTATCCCAATTCAAAGATTATAAAGTATATGTCAACTTCCTAGCAGTACTGCTTAGAAACAAGGTTTCTTTAGTATCACTGGTCACGTTCTGCAATTTCAAATTCTACACTCCCACTTTCCTCATAAGATTTTTAATCATGCAGTTCTACCTACACAATTTTTTTTAAGCCACTGCTACTGCATTGAAGCATGCCGTTTACCTTATCAGAGCTTAAATTACAGAGCGTAGTTTTGGCTGCAAGCCAACAAAGCATGAAAATTTTCTAGTTTTCAGAATGTTACCCTCTGGTCTGAACTTTTCCCAGCATGTGGGAAGAATTTTGAACTATGACTTGATTCATTCATACTTAACAGCTAGTCACAACTATCATGTTCTTGTCACTTGAGATTATCCCCCTCCCCCAGTAATCTTATTTTCATGGAAGGTTTTTACTGCAACAGATGCATGGAGGAAAATGAATTAATTCTGGAGCCTATGCATCTGGTTAAACTTCACAGTCAGACACCTGTTTTGAAGCACACACATACCATCCTGACAGGAACCTGATTACGAGATCCATCTGTTGTACTGCAAAGGTGTGAGTCAACTCATGATGACATACCCAAGCAAAGGTAAACTCAAGCACAAGAACAGCTCAGCTAGAAAGACAAGACTCCAGTGCGGTTTCAGCAGATTTTATTGAGAACCTTCAGGAAGTATCCAGCAACTATCCCTATCTTATGACCATCTCTTCGGGCTCCAGTGCAAACCACCTATATTCTTCCTGTTTTCATGCGGTAGGAAGAACAAGCTGGCCAGCAAGCATTCAGACCTGTGGCATGTTGAATCCAGCTTTCCAATGGGACAGCTGGGAATATACCTTCTACTGCAGGTTATAACTCTTAAATGAATGGAACGAACTTCAGGCTCCTTTCAGCCATCTAAAATTTTTCATAAATAAGGGCCTCCCATCAATCCATCTCTGTCAACGCATCCAGCTTTCCTGACCATTTTATCCACCTTGTTGCTCAGTCTCACAGTTCCCCATGTTTAACTTGTGTGTGCATGCTTCCAGCAGCAGCAACTCCTTGCTCTGAAACAGGCTGAGACTATACTCAGGAAAAAGCATACAGTTGTTAAGGTGCAGTTTGCCTACCACTTTAAAGTAGTTCCCTTCCATAGATAGTGCATGAACGCCAGTTTGGGAGCTGCTATACATGAAACTTAATTCAGCTCATGCACTACAGAATCAGAAGCCCTATAGCTATCTAAATAAAGGAAACTGTTTCGCTTATTCTCTTTGACTTCTTCCTTTTTGGTTTGCTGGAGTTACCCATATAATACCCATGCTTGAAATGCAGATATTCATTAATGTTAGGTTTTAACCAAGCCAGGGTGTACCTCCTATTCTACAATTTAGCATGCATTATGTGCATCACGTGCACTTACAGAAACATCAGAAGTGAGACACTTTAAACCAGCTTTTGAGAGAAAAAAAAAGATAAGTTCAATGTTCTTAACTGATAGAAGAGACAGACCTCTTACTATGAAACTGAGGTCTCACCTGGTCTTCTGCCCTCACAGTCAACGTATCTTGGTTCAGAAGATGCGTCACACGCTTAACATCAAGCTGAAGAAACTCATCTGTCTTGTAAACTTCAGTAAAATGCTGATGGATAAAGTCATCTGCAGTGGCTTTCAGTTCTGGACAGTCCAAGCATTCTGCTAACACACTTATACCTAATGAAGGAAAGAGAAATTAAGAAACAAAATTTGTTAAAGCTTGAACTACAGTTACCTTTAATATATTCAAATAGAATAAAAACACCACAATGTCAGAGAGGTTTATAACACCAATTTAATATTTCTAACAATGTTTTGTATGTTATTATAATATTAATAATTACAATATTTTCTTTATTATGACATGCTATTATAACTCATCTGCAAGTCAAGACAAATCAAGATAAGCATAAACTTCTGATCCTAGTCCTACAAACTAATTACAGAGTCGGGCCAGTAGCACTTGCTATATTAACTGTTGGTCCAGTATCATTTCCTCATTATTTTTTTCCCCCAATTATGAAGCAAGCAACAACAGTACATGAACTAGGTCTGAGTCATACTACAACACAGTAACCACAGCAGCTTGAGAGACTGGATCCAAGTTTTATCGACCTCCCCTAACCTGCTCATGCAGCAGCAGTCACCAGTCAAGCCCAGTTTCCTGCAACAGCCATAGCGAGCAGGGATTGTTTTGTGCAGATAGCAAAACGTGCTGCAGGCCAACATAAAAAAAGCCAAGTTGATTCTATTGCAAGTTGGTATACGGGTATAAGTAACAACCACTACTGAGAACTATTGTTTCTGAACTTTCCATTAGTAACCAGGTATGAGCAGGAGAAAGTCAGCACAGAGCTATTCAGCAATGACTGTTGCTCAGCTCACTACAGTCCTCCTCCTTCTTCTAGGAGGACGAAAGGTGGGATGAAAGCAAACCACTAGCCAAATGCAGCCCACGGGCCTGAAGCTAGATCAAACTGCCCTAAGTAGTAAAACGCAAACAACAATAATAAAAATGCAAGTGTATGATCTGCTTCCCAGAAGAGAAACCAAACAGCTTGATAAAGTTTCCAGAGATTCAAAATAAGCCATGACTTCTTCCAAATACACTTTTTAATTTTTTTTTTTTTTAAATAAACTATGGGCTTGCCTATGAGTCTGCAATCAGAACAGATTTCAACTTGTAAACAATGTCTTGAGGAAAATTTCATTTAACTTTGATCTCCCTTTTGGGCATAAATTAGCTACAAAGTATGCAAGTGTTAGAACATAATTTTCTGTTTAACAAGAGGTTTGAATATGCTACAAAACAAGCATTAGTGACACTTTCCTCAGGAGGTAATGCCTTCCTGCCAGCAGTGTCTCAGGGCCACAGCTGTACTGCACTGAAGTGTCAATTGACTCATTAGAATTCAGATACTCTGCAAAACATTCCTATTGACGTTATAAACACCTATAACATATCTGATTGAAATGTTGCTAGAACGTATCTGATTGCCATGTTGACACGGCAAACGTCAACAAAAATCCCTTTACACACATTTATTTAATTAGAGATTACAGATAAGGTGCTCCAAAGCTTGAACAGCATCAATAAGCCCCAAAGTCTATTCATTGTTTGGTAACGTGGAGTTCACATTACGGCTACAGCGTGTAATAAATATCAAACACCTGACTAAATGACATGGGTAGATTTTTAGTATTTCAGTCAGAAGGAGGTACAACTGAAAACAAAAGTATCCTGTTCATACCTTTAGAACATATGCTCGTTTTGGAGACATTACAACTGTGTCAAATTCCATCTCCAAGTCCAGTAACAACTGAAAGCTCCACCTCACTAAACAACTAAGAACCTCAAACACGCAAGAAGCTCCAGGATAGTGCTGCCAAGCTGGGATGAGCCTTAAAATCAGCAGACCCTGACTCTGGCAAAGGTAACTGCCAGAATGTTTTGCTTATAGCAAGTGACAACCTTTCACATTTTGCTATAATGATTTTGATGTGTCTGCTTTTATCAAAATCTTACTGTCTTTTAGAAGAGACTATCCATTTTTCAAGAACAGTCAAGTTTAAGTTTTTTTTTTTTTTAAAAAGTCTGCATTGCTCTTACCAAGACAATTTGAAGCATCAACTTGCTCTTTCAAAAAATCCACGCACATTTTTTTCACAGGTTCAATTTGATATTGGTTTGCTGCATCTAGTAAAGACTGTACATTGTTGCTGTTAACAGAAATTCTGCAAAACAGAAGGTGCAAAGTTAACATCACTAAAACTACCTATTTTGTTGTAGTCAAATCTTAAACCAATTTACGTAAACAGCAAAATTACTTCCCAGCTATTTCCTCAAGCATTCTTCTCTCCACATAAGCTTAAGATGTAGTCTTCCTTTGTGGTCTTTCCAAGTTGCTTTAATTTACAAATTGCTTTAATTTTAGATATTTTACTGAGGAAGGGCAGGGAGTCAGCAGTCCTAAATTCTAAAGACTGAGCCTTAAATATAGGCCATTTGCTGACAGTCTCGGTGTAGTAGTATCACTTCGACCTGTATGATTAACTAGTTTCACAAAAGAGAAGGAACAGAACCTTTTCTGGCAGTCTCCAATTCCCAAAGAGGCATCAGCAAAGTCTGTCTAAGATAGTTGCCAGGACTGCTCTGGCTGATTTGCCTGTAGTGCACAAGCAGAAAAGTCAGTTTGGCAGCGCATCAACAGAAGAGGTCCAGAGCTCACTGACAAGGATTTGGGCTCCAGCAGATGCAAGTGCGGCCAGGGTGCTGACATAAGCCGTCTCTCACTGCAGGGGAACATACAGCAAGATTCCTCTCAAAGGAAGGAGAAAGCCTTCCTAAGGAGAGTTAATCCTATCAGTACAAAGGGATAAAGAGCCTGTCATCCATCAGTCAAGAGAGCTTGCTGCAAAGGCCTGTCCACAACCCTCGTCATCTGAACAAGCTCTGTATAAAGACTCTGTTTTTAAACATCACTGCAGGCAACTAAACACATGGGCAACCGCGGATAGAAGGGAAATGCTCTTCACACAGAACAGTCCTAATCTGTCCGGAGATGAAGTTATAACTCCTTGAAATGTTTATCTGTGCTAGCTGCTATGGCCATAAAGAGAAACCACTGCTGATATTAACAAGGGCCTGAATTTCAGAGCAATGGGAAATATCATTTGACTCCAACTCTGTAGTCAGAAGCCTTAAGTGCTTTCCGTTGCTTTCTTGAGGCAACTACCACTCACTTTAGTCAACAGGAATAGTTTACTAACTAACAGGAATAGTTTATTAACTAAATTAAGCAGTGTGAGTAACACCTTTCAAACAAAGGGGAAAAGGGAAGGAAGATAGAGAAGGTCTAGTCACATCAGACTAGAAATAAAGTATTGTAATAGTGAACTACAAAAGCATTATTTTAAGATTTTATCATTTACACTTGGCAGACTTCCTAGCAAAAACGTCAGGCAGTGTTAAACAAGAAACTACCTTGCAGTATAAGCAAACTCCACAAGCTGTTCAATAATGTCAGGTTCTGCATCTTTTAGCTCCACTTCGAAGGACTTTGATTCAAGCATATTTGCTGTAAAGAGAGTAAAAGACAAACTACATCAGCAAGTCACCCTAGTTATTGTAGATTTTGCAAAAAATAAAGTGATCAAACCTGCCAAAAACTGCGCAGTCAATTTCTGTTTTCCCAGGATTACTAAGAGGAGTCAGGGAGGGCACAAAGCAATGGGACAACCAGGATAACTGGCAGGGGAGGTTGCAGTGTGAAAATTATGCGATAAAATGTATTTAAAAAGTCAGAGACGCTACTGACTACAGTGCAGAGACTGCCAAGCTAGCATTACCAAAGATAGGAAGCTCACACTGCACTGTCAAAAACTATTTCCATATTCAAGCTGATAATATGCAGCCCGATCAGACCTCACTCAGTTACAGCACTGTTAATGCACCCGCAGATAATTGTGTTGGCCATTAGAGAACAGTTATTGTACTCTAGTCCTATCAATGTTTTAAAGCACAATAATTTTACTTTCATATGCCTTATCCATAAATTTGCAACATAGACACTAAAATACCTGAATTTATAAAGACAGTACAAATCCAAGAACACTTACGTTTCTCAAAGCCTGCTTTGTACGTGTAAGTGCCCAACGGTGGGAAGTGACAGGGCAGGCATAAGCTATGTCACGGGAATAAAGACTCCCAAATATTAGATCAGAGAAGAGAGAGTAATACTGTGCATGGGCCCCAAATAAGAAGAGGACTTGCATACACAGTAACCTCATTGATTTCATCATGAGAGATAAAAAGAAAATGAAAGGAAGGGTGAACAGAGATGAATGGAGGAAAGATACAAACTGAGCAAGTCTTGACTTACATTCATCCCTCAAATTAATTATTTTTCCAGAATAAACAGCTTGTCAGTCACAAGTCTAACAGGACATGGACATGAAAGCCTATAAGAGTTAATCAATTTTGAAAAGACTTACTAGTAAACATCAAGTTAAAGAAGTGACTGGCTGAAGCAAGCACAACACGGTGAGCTGGGATCTTTCTTTCCTGAACCATAAGAATGACATCACAGAGAGTTTTCTAAACCAGAGGAGAGAAGAAAGAAAAACAAAACACACACACAAAAATCAGCATATTAGAAATACTTTCAAAAATAGTTTTCTAAAAACAGGCTCTAGAAATTCATTGCTTTCTTACTCCACCTTACCTCAAAAGAGCTTATCACATTAAGCAAAAAGATCAGAAAATAAAAAAGTAAGCTCAGTAACCTGGAGAATCAGTGACTCTCAGCTTTCCTGTGAACTTGCATTTTAAGGCTGGCCACTGATAAGATATGAGCTCCGATTAAAGCTTTTGTTGTCGCATTTTTATCAATCTTCTATAGCCTCGACTCCGCAGCATCAAACAGGGGCTGCATTTGCATTAGGAGCTCTCGTCCCTACTCAGCTGCTGATTTGCATAAAACGTACAGGAACCCCATATCTCATGACTACTATCATATTGTCCAACCAGGGTGAAAACAACGAACAGTTTCAAAGCATTCAGTGGAACATTTTAAAGAGAACATTATCTTAAAAATATCACTTTTAAATAGAAGTACTTAACCAGTCACATCTAATTAGCAACTAGTTGGCTCTCAGACAAAAAAATATTTTTATTCCTCACTTGTTCACCATTCGTACGTAATCGGTTTCTCATTTACGCTTGAACTGTCATGGAAGAAAGAGAGGAAGGAAAGTGACAAAACTTACCAGTTGGGAGACATCAGGCAAGAGTAATGGATTGGAGTAAAAACATATTGTTTGAATAGATTTTAAAAATAGTATCCTTTTGAGAACATACTGACTGGCCTAAAAGCACACCATATTGCAGTTACTTTTGACATCCGCTTATTAAGAAGAATTGAGCAGCACTGCTTCTCAAAAAACAGAACTCCATTTTCTACTATCACCTTAAGTTCTTGGAACCTGTTTTTGGAAACACCTGCCAAAACTAACCACAGAATAGAGCATTTTTACTGTGGGAAGAAAATGCACTTGAACAGGACAGTGTTACAATTTTTTTCCACACGCAGACAATATCATCCAGGCACAACTCACAAGGTAGATAGTCCAAATATATAGCCAATAGTCCTTTAAATATACTGAAGAAAGACTTTCACTTAGTAATTTTTAGGTCCTTACAGAAAAGGACACTCATTAGAAGCACTTGTTGGATAAAATGTGCAACATTAACATATATTTTTTTAAAAATTGTTTGAACTATAAGTATACATCAGGGAGGAGGCAAGACGACCAGAACCAACCTTCTTTGCACATCCATGGCTTTAAATCATTTAAGGTTGAATGAATATTTAAAAAAAAAAAAGACCCTATGAGAAAAGCTAAAAGGAATTTTTTAAAGCTGAAATTCCTAAAACATCTTTCTTAGAAGAAGTGCTGGAAACTAGCAGTATAAGATATTGCAAAACTACGTGGGCAAACTTAACCAAGACTTACAACTGCTGCTGCATTCCATGCTGCATTTCTAAAATGTGTTGAGTGCCTTTTGAAATCACACATCTCAGTATTTGAAGCATTTAGGATGTTCTAAGATCTCTGTGGATGTGGGAAAAACATTTATCAACCAAAACAGACTTTATCATCATCTTTTTCATTTTGTTCCCTGCATGTCCTTGGGCATAACAGCTTTATTTCAACTACTGGTTTTTCAGAGAATTGCTGTACTTCTCTCTTGGAGGACCCACCTGTATCAGCCAGTAGCTTCAGTGAGTCAACAAGTGACCTGCGTTGCATCAGCCAAAGGACACACCGCAGAGTGAGTCTGCATTAGGGTGCTTCATCTCCCGAATAACAGGTCCAGTGACACCTTGCAACTCTGTCCCATCTTTACCTTTAATTACCTCTCACTCCTGGCTGGTCTCCACCCAGCTACAAGGTCACAAAAAGGATTTATGCACATGCTGTCAAATAGCTTAGCAAAATCCACAAGGATATGGGTCATTTTATTATGGAGATTAGCAAGAAGTTCTCTATGCAGTATACATACTTGCCTGCAATCTCTCACCTGTCTCACCAGTACTACGTGTATGTATACCCACAGTTTACTTTAAAATCCCCTATGCAGGGAGGCTGCCTCTAGATCAGTTTATACAGACTCAGTTAATTAGCTATACTTTCCAACCCATTTTCTAGTACCTTCAGCTCATTTTCCTAAAACATTAAACAAAGGCCAATAAAGCAACGTGCATATGTAGCATTATATATTCCCACCAAAGGAAAAAGTTTTAATTCATAGTACACTTTGGTTTTATAACCACAGCACAGTCCTTGACTTATCAACATACAAGAAGAAAGAGTTGTCTATAAATCCTCTTAAATTTCAGCACAGCTCGTCTGCTAAACCAGTACATTTTCCTCTGGCTGCAGATGACTTCCTATTTTTATCCCACATAATTCTGCCCCCTCCCTCCTGCTAATAACTAACGCCTCCTACACTCCTACTAACAACTCCTACAAGGATCAAAGGTGTCATGAACTATGTGAGAATTCATGGAGTGCTGAAGACTAAGTTTGGGTGGGCTGAAGCCACCATCGGAGGTCCGACTGGAAGTTTCTAGGAAACTCAAGTAGCAGACAAAATTTGAAGCAGCAGAGGCTGCCCTGGCATACCAGCTTTCTAGACAACTAAAAGCACACAGATTTTACAGCAGTTAAGGGTGACTCTAAACAGAGAGAGAGAGAGATTAAACTTAACTAGATCAGAGCTGGCACCCCGCTATACTGAACGACCAGGTGAGAACAACAGTGCAGAACAACAATGTGGTACCATGTTATTGGAGCAGAGACGTGGTCAAGAACTGGGATTTCCTTGTGCTAGCAACTGTACGTGCATCTGACAGAAGGCCATATTTCCTGTCTGCTCAAAGCACAATAGCATCTAGCATCCCCATGTCAGCAATGACAGGAGTGTGAGCTAAATTATGAACAGCTGAGTTACAAAATCAGCTATACCTTGGAGTACGTTCACACAATTAAGCGGAAACAAAACCCACATACAAAAAGTGTAGCTTTAAGTCCAGATAGGCGTTATGCCTCTATATAGCTCTCTCCACTCCATTACCAGAAAACACCACAAACCTTTAATTTAAGCCAACGTGGTTTTCCATACGTAGGAGTTCAGTTAGTTGGAGTGTTTTTTGTACACAAACTGATGGCATGCTAGTGAGAAAAGAACAGGGACAGTATCACGGACAAAAGTGGAATCACCATTCTTATATCACTTGCTAGGCCAGGACCCATACTGCTAGTATACACACACTAATAAAAATCGGACCGAGCCTCTGGCAAGACTAATACAGGGAAACGAGTAGATAAACTGTAGAAGACTTGACATGTGACAGTGTCACGTAGGAAGCCTCCACCTGTTCTGGAACATTTGGTTCTAGAGTCAGCTTTCATTCTGGTTCCATATTACACCAGTTCCTCTGAGGAAGAGAAAAGATTTCTTTACATCCAGGGTGTCACAAAGATCATCCTTCTGCTCTTGTATCGTATCTTTAAGTTTGAGCTTTTTAAGAGGAGAAAACACCTGGCAGCATTTATTTCAGTTTAGACAGTTCAGTGGAAACCTACTCGCATCATTGTGCTGTTGGTTACCGCTCTACTGGTAAACAAAAGAGTCATCTTCGATAATCATTACACTATTAACCTAAGAAGCTGATCAGCCCAAAAGGTCAGAATTTCTAAAGATGAGACTGCTCCACTTACCCATCCCCATATGCAACTATTGGCTTCTTAGTGAGAGGGTCAGATGTACTGAGTACAAAGTGCAAGAAACAAAGCACTACCTGAAACTGAGCCACGGCTCCAGTCCTCCCTCTCCTCCCGCTGCTGCTTCGCTATACTGATAATATTTGAAGAGGGTACACAGTCAATTGGATCAGAGAACAGCTCCAGGTTAAAATTCAGCACCACCACCTTTTGACTCCTCTCAGGTTTTTCTTGGAAAAGGACTATGTGAATACTACTTCTAACCGGATAAACTCAGCAAAGAATTGCCGCTTGATTTCTGCCCTCACATAGACAAAAGGTTATTAGATAAGGAAGCAGGTCCACAGCGTCCTTCTGCCTTCAGCATCAGGGCACTGCCAGTAAAATCCAAACTTTCGACGCTTGCTGTGCCACTGCACGGAAGGGCTTCAGCAGCTGCTGCCGCAGTCACCCGCGCCCGCTGCAGCCCTTCAGACTCTCAGCCCTCCTTCCGGGGGTATCTTT